GGCAGAAATTCCTACTCGGTGGGAGGGGTGGGGGAGGTACGGCGGAGTGGTTGGGGGCAGCCCGAGGGGGTGGGATAGGGTCCGGGCCCACACTGCGCCTGGGCTGGGACTGGTCCCGCCGGCGCAGGTTAGCAGGAAGCTCTCCACACACTCACTGGACCTGGGCTAGGACTCTGTAGTTTGTTTTTTAAAAGCAGTGCTAAATTGTTCTCTCCCATCACTATTGGGTAACAGGGATTCAATTTTCTACTTGTTCCATTCGAGTAAACACTTCTGGGGTTCACTTACTGAAAAATATATCCTTTCTCCATTTTTTGTTTGCTTTTTGCCTTGTCATTTCTCATATACATCCGAGTTTAGTGTATGTGCAGCTCAGTTTATTTGCTCTACCTTCTGTATCTTGATTTGTTTATCTTGTCTTAATTATTGTATCTTCTGAATAAGTCCCAGTATCTTTATTCTGTTTTCTTCAGGAATGTTTTGGCTATTCATGAGCCTGCTAGGTATAAATTACAGAAAAAACATGTCTGTTTCTATATTCTATGAAAAACTGTTTTTGGAATATTGATGAGGATTGTGTTGATTTTATAGTTAGATTTAGATTAGATGTTGAATTTTTATGTTTTTCTGTTCATAACTGTAGTATCTTTGTATTTATTTAGATCTCCTTTAATGTCTTTCAGTTTGATTTGTCATTGTCCCACAGACTTCTTGAACATATTCTGTGAGATTTTAATTTAAAGAAAATTGATGTTTTAAATTTTGATCTCAAGTGGAATCTTTCTAGTTAGATTTTTTTTGTGGCTAATTGTTGGTATACAGCAGTGTGACTTTACTAAATATTAGTTACATATCCAGAGAACTTTTGCTTTTCTTTTAGAGAGCTGTTTCTTAGTTGATGAGCAGAAATTTGTTTGGTACATGTTTGAATGTGCATGGGGCTGGTGTGTGTGTGTGTGTGTGTGTGTGTACACATATTTGTGACTCTTTTACAGAATGGTGGAACAGAGGGAGAGTTTCAAGGTCCTTAAGTTCTGTTCTGTAGTCAGTTTCTACATACAGTGTAGGTTCTGTGTCGCAGTAGAGGGTGGTTGTTGAAGCCAGGAAGTTGCCAGCTATTGGTCTCCTTAGCTGTTTTGTGCAGTCCCAATGACCACTGAAGGGGCCCATTTCATGAAGTTAATATCCTTGAGGGTAGACACCTGCCTGTTCTTTCTCTTGGGGGTGGTTACTCATGCTGCCGGCTAGGTTGGTAACTGTGTGCCACTCCTGTTTTTCAGTATCCGGAGCGTGATGCAGAAATATCTTGAGGAGAGAAACGAAGTAACCTTTGACAAGATTTTCAATCAGAAAATCGGTGAGTCCTGCTTGGTCGTCTGGCATAGTGTAATTGCCATAGTGAAATCAGGTGATGCCGTAGTAGCTTATAAATGTAGCCCCTAATCCTGCTTTATACCCATTTTAGTTAAAGGTGGGAAAGAAGGTCATTTCATATAATTAGTAGGATACTTTATCATTGCTCATATTTCTAATGGCTTATGGATAATAAGCTAGTGGGACTCAGACTACACTGACTCTGAATTTAAGGTAGGAGTGGATGGGAGAAGGTTGCCCTCATCAAACTCACTGGGTTCGCCCCTTAGTGAGTCCAAAGCTGAGTTAAGCATACTCAGCAGGTAAGAGTGAAGAGAGGTTTATTGCTTGCAGCAAGTAAGGAGATCACTGAGGATAATTATAATTCCCAGAGTGGTGTCACTGAGGAAACTCACATGGGTTCACATTGGAACAACCCATTGTCATGGCAGGGGTGGGGACTGTGTTCCCGAGCATGCTCACTTGGCTGTCATGTTTCTGCATACCTCAGTTTTTCTAAGATGGGGGATAGGAATATGCCCCCCAATCAAGCATTATAATGAGATTGTTCTCTCTTTGGCTATACTGGGAATTGAACCCAGGACCTTTGCATTGAGCTATATCCCTAGCCCTTTTTTAATTTTTAGTTTTGAGACAGGATCTTGCTAAGTTGCTCAGGCTGTGCTTGAATTTGGAGCCCTCTGCTTCAGACCCCTAGAGTGCTGGCATCACGAGTGTGTACCGCCACACCTGCATAGTGAGATTAGAATGAGTTACGTTTGCTCATTTGGAGGGGTCACTGGACACTCTTCTGGCTCCTTCCTCTGGAAGGCCTTATGTGAAACCAACAAATTCAACACTTGAAGGGCTGTCAGCACTGGTTAAAGGGCTGCTTTGGTTCTCCACAACCACAGGTGCTTAACGGTAAGGTTTCTGCCCAGAAGCTCTCCAAAGGATGTTATATTGGGGACCAGACAAAATGCTTTGTTTGGATCCATTACCAGCCATGCTCCTCAGAAGCCATGTTCCTCGCCCAAAGGTCCCAGTTCTCTCTGCTGCTCTGCCCTTGTGGTCACAGGACAGGCATGGGTCTCTGTGAGCATCCTGCGTCCCTGAAGGTTATCCTCCTTCAGAGTACATGGAGCGAATCCCTTGATGCCATCAGTCTTCATGGCAGGTGATTTGCTGTTCCTCTTGATGAAGACCATGTGCTTGACTCCTCTTCCTGTCACTGCCTTCAGTATCGGCTCTGCAGGTCACAAGGACTTCCCCAGGTGCACACATAGGTGGGGAGCCCTCTCTCATGGGCAGTGTGGGTCTTGGCCCCTGTGGATGTATCTTAATGTAGGGGGCTTTGAAGTTTCCTCACAGTTGGTGCTTAGAGAAATTAGGTTGGCCTAGGAATTGATTTAATGTGCAGTTTTAGCCAGGGAGATAGCTCAGTGGTGTAAGCACCTGCCTCACAAGGGCAAGGTCCTGAGTTCAATCTCTAGTACTGAAAAAAAAAAAAAGAAGAAAGAAAAAAGACAGATTGTTCAGCAGAAAAAACATGTGGAGTTTTAAGGCCTATGAAGAAATGTTACATTTTCACCTGACTTCTAAAACCTATCAGTTTGTTTACAAGTGATTTATCAGGGTTAGGTAAGACCTATAGTTTATATGCCTTCTTTTTTTCTTTTTCATTCTCCAAAGATAGTTCCTTCTGTCTAGAAATTTCTTAATATTTTATTTATTGATCTTTCTGGAATAGTGAGATGAACTGGTATTTGTAGGATTTTTACATGAATTCAACATTGGGAAATTGGATGTTCCTTTCTTTGCACCTTGCTTAACTCCAGTAATCACTTAGGTGGTTTTAGCTGTGGGTTGGTCTTAGTTTTTCAAATATATTCTTTCTAGAAGAAATTATTTAAATCCTAAGAAACTAAAGTTTCCTGGAACTCTACTGGTGTATATACATATCCATGGACTCCATATCCCTGGATTCTATCAACCATGGATTTTAAAAAGTGCATGTATGTGCATGTGTGTGTATATATGTGTGTATCTGTGTGTGTATTAAAAAATTAGGTCTGTACTAGACAGATATTCTTGTCATTATTCCCTAAACTACTCAGTCTAACAACTATTCTCATGGCATTTACATTTTATTAGGCATGGTAAGTCACCTAGAGATGATTTGAATATATGGGAGGTTGTGCGTAGATTCTGCACAAGTACTACAGCATTTTAGATAAGGGCTTAGAACATCTGTGAATTGTGGTGCCCTTGGGTATCCTGGAACCTTCCCCTGGGATAGTGAAGGACAGCTGCCATTCTGTTTCCATGACTAATACATGAATCTTTTTTAGTCTTTGAGATACTTCCAGGCTGCCTCTTCATATACAGATGAGGAAAAGTGGATCCAGGGAAGGAACACAACTTGTTCTAATTCTTAGAATTTTAAAGAAGAGATTATGATGGATTTAAAAAAAAATTCATATCCACTAGAAACCAGTGGGGAAAGTGTATGGATTTGTGTAAGTCACTTTTTGTTTAAGAATAGGTGTAGTTTGCAGAAATTAGTCTACTATGGTGGTCTTCCATAGATGTACCTGCTGCTCCTTCTCCCCCATCTCTTCTTCCCCCTCCTCCTTTTTGTTTTTGGTGATATTAGAGATTGAAGCAGGGTTTTTGCACTGAGCTGTACCCCCATCCCCTTTTAATTTTTTACTTTTTTTTTTCTTTTATATTTTAGGGAAGAGTCTAAAGGTGTTCAGGGTCTCACTACTAGATTGGACTCGTAGTGATCTGCCTCTTTACAGCCTCCCAAGAGCTGGGATTACAGGCGCGCGCCACCACACCCAGTCTCAATTTCTGTCTCCACACATCCCAGGGGCGGGGCTGGCATGGCATTAATTTTTTACTTTGAAACAAACTTGCTTTTGCTTAAAAAGAAACTTCCTGAATTTATGAGCAGAATTTGTACAATTCGTGTTTGAGAATACATGAGACTGTGTGTGTGTGTGTGTGTGTGTGTGCGTGCGTGCGTGCGCGCGCGCATGTGTGTCTGAATTGTCCAGATGGGGTTTGAAGTTGGTCTTCCTGCCTCAGCTTCCCAGAGTGCTGGGCTCACATGGTGTGTGCTACAGCATCCAGCTGAGATGTAGCTCCAATGGAAAGCCGTGAAGTACAGCAATAAAAAGGAGTCAAAGTGAGGCAGAGAAGCAGGTGAGGTGTGACCTGTCTGTTTTCTGGGGAAGCTAGCAGCCCCCTGCCGCATAGAATATTGCATCCAGGTCCTCAGAATGCCACTGGGATCAAATAAATCAATTATCCTCTCGCTTGTTGTTGCTGATGCTTCTTATTTTCATGATGTTTACCTCTCATTTCTCTTTTACTTCTATCAGATGAAAAACTATAAAATATTTTACCCTTGATAGGAAAAGGAAAATTATGTATTTGTTAGTGGAAACTTCCAATTTATTTTTATAGCTTTATTGAGATGTATTGCACATCAAATAAAATGTATCTACTGCAAGTGCACAGTTCCGCAGTGTTCAGTATGTCCTCACAATTGGGCAGCAATCCCCGGGTCTAATCTTAGAATATTTTCATGACTCAGTGGAAGCTCCGTAGCCCACCTGTCCGCAGTCATCCCTGCCACTTGCCTCTGGTGGCCACTCATCTGCTGTGACCGCTCGTCTGCTTTCTGTCCCTGTCGTTTTTGCCTGTGTTGGACACACACAGAGAGATGGCTTCACACAAAAAAGTAGCTTTCCCATTTGGCATTTCTCAGCTTGGTGCTCTGAAGTCTGTCTGTGCGGTAGCATGGGTTGGAACCGAACTCCTTTCCAGACTAGAGCAGTATTCAATTGTAAACATACCGTATTTTGCTTACTCATTGTCAGTTGAGGGCTATCAGGACTGTGCTTCTGGGCTATTTTGGATAAGTGCTGCTAGGAAAGGAAGGAGCTTTCACCGTGACTGAGCCTGAGATTCCCTGGGAAGACACAGCTGGCAGCGGGTGCTGGGTCTGCTTGCCCTGCACTTGTTCTAGCTTTTGCAGTGTACTGAGGATTCTCTGGTTCTCTTTCTGTTCCCTGCCCCTTCCGTAACCCTTTTCCTGTCTGCTACAGCTCCAGCACACATCCAGACCCCCAAATGTCTTTTTATCATTTGGGTTGAAACCGGGCCAGACTCTATCCCCAGAACCTTTGATCTGACCACCTAATGTCACTAGTGTGGACTCCCATCTTTGTTAAGCTACAGATTTATCCACAAGATCAGCCTCACAGACATTACTAGGTTGTACATTTTATCTCAATTGAGCTGTTAAATAATTTTAAGTGGCTTGAATATGTAATTCTGTCGCTGCCTCTGTCTAGTTTCTGAGCCCAGAGTTGGTTGGGAAAGGCAGAGTTTATACTCAGAAGGTCGTGGCAACAGGAAGGGAGAGTGATGATGGTGGGAGGAGGCAGACTGCACACAGCGGGCATTGCGTCTGCAGAAGCTGTGGACCAAGTCTGCTGCCTGGCTGCCTGGCCCCTCTTTTTGTTCCTCCCTTTCTGCCTGGGGTTAGGGATGAGGGAAGAGTGGAAGGCAGGCTGTGGTTGGTATATTGTCTAATTTTGGAGGTCTTCCTTCTGTTCCCCTTGTCCTGTACCTTCCTCTCTGTCTTTCTAGAGTCTTCTCTGTTTCCTCCAGGACTGAGTTTCCACTTTTCTGCTCAGCCTTGCTCCTTCCCTCTCTCTTGTTATTCTTCTGTGGCTCTCTTAACTCTCAGCTCCGTTTCTCTCCTGTAACCCACCAAGATCTCCCACGCATAGGATCATGGAAGTATCTGGGGGCTGCCCTCCATGCGTGCTGTGGCTGATTTGTATAGATGTGTTATGACAGAGGCCCGGCACATGCCTGCAATACCAGGGGTGGGGAGGCTGAGGTGGAGAATGGCAGGTTTCAGGCCAGCCTAAGAAATTTAACTACTTAGTGAGACCTTGTCTCAAAATGACTGACTGACTGACT